CTCCACCAAGCGCTTGAATTCTCTTTGAAATTCCTTCAAGTTCAAAGTTTGAAGTCTCTCTCCGAAGTCCGAAAGTTCATACAAACTCAAATTCAAAGCTCTGAATTAATAACTTCTTCAAACGGACTCTGTTTGAGCTGAAATTTTGCAAGTATGTGTGGCCAGCTGAGATCAACAACCTCATCAAATTTCAGCTCCAATTGACTCTCCAGCGCAAAGATATGGCTTCTGCAAGATCCATGCTCCAAGGCCGAAGACGGAAAGGCCAAAGGGGTTAAGGCCAAAGTCCGAAATCTCTTCAGCCGAAGTCCAAAGACCCTTTGGCCGAAGGCCCTTCTGCGCCTTTGCCTATCCATACCAGTCACTTCCAACACTCATAACTTCACGACATTGATACTTTATCCGTTTTAAGAGTTCTTGGGCTCGTTAGAACCATCGTGTCAAGCTCTATCCATCAAGATCTTAACTAAATCAAATCGTTACTAATTGAAAAGTTATGAAGTATTTACTCTATCAGATCATAATTCATCCAATTCAACTTTACTACCTACAAGTGAAAACACTAACTTGAAAGAGAGGAAGCTAAATGGATTCCATTACTACTAACTAGACCTTTACCATAGAATCCACTATTAACTCTACTTCATAGTATTTTTATTCTAAAAGTGTGAAATTACTAGTCTTTTATCTCTCAAACTTCTCGTTTTGGAAAGAAAAAAAGTAAAAACTAAGCACCACACTCAGATGAATCTTAAATGGATTTGCGCTAGTTCATCATGGTTTTAGAAGGCTAGAATTCCTCTCATATTCATATCTCAAACACCCTTTCATACATTTTGTCAATTCATCACTCAAATTCACTAACAAATCAACACTTCAAAATGTTGATAAAACGTCACTCTTTCATATATGAAACAAGTTTCTAAACATGAACTCTTCAAACATGATTCCGAGTATCTTTCCCATCTCTCCATATATAGTAAGGAGAGATGGGAAATGGGAGTAGTTGAAAATTTACCATAGTGACAAATTGTAATTTCTATCTAATTTACTTTTACAAAACATAAATCATAGTAAGTTATACTAGATACTAATACGTGATACCATGTCATTGGTCTTCTAGATCTTCTAGATGTTTATTAATCCCTAGATTGATATGACAACATGTCCCTTGTGACTTTCCAACATCTAGAATCTCCACTTGTCACTAAGTCGGCATTAGACTTAGTCTAGCGAATAAAATACTCATTCTATATATCCAACATAGCGATCAATCTAGCTATAAATAGTTAGAACATGAGGTTGTTCTTTAACCAAAGTTAAAGTTAATACTTTTAAATTTATTTTTAAAAAATTTAGGTTTATAAATTACTCATAATAATAATAATTCAGAATAAAAATTTATAAACATATTTCTAATTAAAATATATAACTTATTAATATAACAAAAACTACATATATTTATATATATTTTGAGCAAATAATAATAATTATTGATTTCAATTTTCACAAGAAGCACATTTATTGTTATGCATGTCACACAATCTGTTGTTGAAATAAATTTAAACAACTTAATAACAAAAAATTAATTGAGGTAAAAAAATGTATTGGTCTTTTTAGATCAATGTAAAGACAGATTTTCAAAAATAATTAGAAAAATCAACTAATCTCAACTAAAAACTTGAAATTTTCAAATAAAACATACACAAATACTCAAACTCAATCCTAAATTTCAGATTTTGTTCAAAGTACTAGATCTAAAATAAAAGTTTTGCAATCTGATGTTGTACCAAATATAATTTGAATTTATAAAGAAAATCAAATATTCACTGAAAACTAAAAATCAATCAATTACTTAAAAAGAATCACTTTGTATTTTTTAATTGATTTTTGCAGTAAAAAAAAATGTACTTTACATACATTCATCAGTATGCTTGGAAAAATGTGACCTTTTAAGTAATTAAAGGCAAAATAAACTCATAAGCATGTATTTTTCATTGTAAATATTTATTTCAAATTTAGTATTTGAAAATTATTTTGCGAATAAAACCATACAAAATTCAGATTTTTTTTTTCATTATGTTCAGCAATTTGAAACATGATTTAAAAAATATATAAATCAATTTTTTTAAAATTTTGTGCTACATTATATACTTGGTAATTCTATATAATCTCATTATGTTGTTAATAGTAGGAGTTACTACGACTTTATTTTGTGAGCAAACTAATTTCTTAGATGTATAATTTAATTAATCTGAAGTTAATTGTACTCAAATTGTAGGTGAATTAATTACTTCAAGTATGTCATAAAAATCTATGAATAAATCACATATAATTCAACATGCTTCATTATAATTTTGATGAGAATATATAACATTTACTAGAAAAAATGTATATTTAATATTCTGAAGAACATGATCTGAATCCAACAATAATTTTCAATGTTTTTAATTTTTAGTTTGTATATCAAATAAATCTATATATTTTTAAATATTATCATACAGTTTGAACATGAAACATTTGTTTAAATGATGTATAAATCCCGAAATATATATAATCAAAGTTGTTATAAAGCACATCAGATCATGGTAATTGTAGAATGTGTCTGTCAAACTTAGGGTTTAACCCTAAACATAAATAGATAATGTCAAACTTTACTGTTACTAATATAATACTTTTGAAACTAGAATACTACAGATAAACAAATCTGTAATAGTGATTGAAAATGATTATGAATTTTTTATCTCATATTGTTCTTTAAGAATAACTAGATAAACAACAATTAAAATTGAAGATTATGACGGGACTTTCATGGCGCGTTCTCAGAGTTTGTCCCGATGGACGCGCGTATCTCACTTTCGTGGAGCAGGTTGGGTGGACACGACGTGAGTCATGGTTACTGATAGAGGCAGTCTACTCCATGTCGTGCTGGATACGGCCGAAGAAAAGAACGTGCAAAACTTTATGGCACTTCTGCTTCTCAAAGCAGGAGTTCCGAGTTTTAAGAATGCAATAATTTATGAATGATTCAGGGTCAGCAAGGTTCAGATATATTCGCGCAGAGGTGTATGACCAGACCTCTTTGTATAATGTGGATTCTTTATGTTTTGAATCTCAACCAAATAAGGATAATTTACAAAACAAATTGCAAAATATAGAAAGCTTGAAAGAAATCTCTCATGTTTTGGCAATGAAATATACCTTCACGAGACATATGTGTTATTTTTAATCTGTCAATATTCATTTTTCAATTTAGCATCGAAAAATCACTTTTCACCGATGGAGTGTTCGAAAATAGTCAAGCTAATCCTCCAAAATTCTACATGAGTTGAAGAAATCTTTTCTTAATACCTGGAATGAGATTGTCAAGTGTACAGACTTTTGTGAAACCCCTAAAGTATAGTGGGATGCTGTACATGATGAACATAATCATGGTACGTTTCGTACGAGCACACTCTACTCTACAACGAGAATATAGATTCCGTAATGTTCTAGGTTCACGACAACCAAAAGCTGTTTATGTTCTTTCATTATTTTATCTATGTCTTTTTGTTTCCAAAAAAATTTGAAATTTTTTTGATATTCTAGAACTAGTTGAACAACTTTTAATGTATTCAAAGCTACAAATTACCGAGACAATATATTATAACTAGCCTAGTTGAACTCATCCGATGTCACCGCCAAATTATAGTTGAATAGTTTTGTTAGTTTCTCTAGTAAAGCCACCAAATCAACAAAGGTTTGGTTGAGTATTTATGTTAGGTTCTCTAGTAAAACAACCTAGATCAACAAGGACATGGTCACAAAAGTAACCCCAAAGTTTTAGTTGAGTGATTTGATTAGTTTCTCTAGTAAAGCCATCTAGATAGCAAAAGCTTTTTTTGTTAGAAATAAGTAAGTGTGTGAGAGTGAACTCGAGAGTCCAACTGCCATATTTAGAGAGGACTGTGTATGACCAAAGCTTTCGGCATTGACTAAGTCACAGTTGAGAGTGACCTGCGTGAGCTTGTCAGTGACAACTTCACTGTTGTCACTTTCAACGGTGATTCATTGACTAAGAGTGAGTCAACGGTGATTGTAAGTCAATGCCAAAAGCCATGGCAGACTGCCCCTTCTTTACCACAAGCCCTAAAATGACATCACCTTTTTCACCTTTGTGGGTCATCGCGTAGGGATATCGGTCTCGATTATCAGTTAGAGAACAGGATGATGTCAGAAAAATCGGCGTAGTTCAAGAATCATGGCCAGAAAGGAAATGTATCTCAGTACAGTAAAATGTACTTTGTAAGAGTTTGAGTTAGCTCGCGGAGATCACAGCTTTGAAGCTCGAAAACGGTGGAGGACCAGTGGTGGTTTGAGATGGTTAACACTCAGCCCCATAACGCCTGCCAGCTTCTCTCTTACGTTCATGTCGAGGGGTCTGAGTGCTTGTCATGTCCTGCGTTGAAAACCTTAGTTTCCAAGCTCACATAGTTCAGGCAACATTCATTTTACGTTTTTGTGTTCACATTTGGGCCACACATTTGGGTTCACATTGACATCGAGAAGCTCACTGTCATCCCTGGATTTCATAATCTTCAAACTCCTTAGTCCAGTTTGTTGGCGGAGGCACTGAACGGAATGTTGTACAATGGGACTGTGCTGCGACCATGGTTCATCTGGGGATTTTGGTTGGTGAGCGTTGTGTGTGTTCAAGCGTATCCATCTTTGGAAGCTGAAGCTCTTTTCAGTCTGAAGGGGACGTATTTTTCTGGATTGGAGTCATGGACACTTTCAACAGTTCCCTGTGATGGCTGGGTTGGGGTGAAGTGTGACCATGTAACAAAGAGAATTATCGAAGTAAATGTGACCGGGTTGGGAGTTCGAGGCACGGTATCTAGTGAGTTGTGCCTGCTAGAAGATTTGGGAGTGCTTTGTCTCAGTCATAACCTGTTCGATGGTGAGCTGCCGTCGTGTCTGTGGAACATGACACGGTTGCAGAAACTGGAGGCTGCAAATTTGAATCTGTATGGCTCTCTGTCGGGAATTTGCAATCTGGAGAAGCTGGAAGTATTGGATCTCAGTTTCAATGATGTACGCGGTGACGTGCCAGCTTGTTTGTGGAATATGTCACAACTTCGGTCTCTGGACTTGTCCAACAACTTGAACCTCGGGATGGAGGGTCTCCCAGCCAGTGCTTCTGTGACTCTGCTTCAAAATCTGGCGCTCTCGAACTTGCAACTATCTGGATCGCTGCCTGCGTGGCTGGGCAGTCTACACCAGCTTGAAGAGCTCGACTTATCTTTTAACAATATTGCGGATCTTCCTTCTTCAGTTGGTAATTTGTCAAGCTTAAGGACTTTGAACTTGAAGCACAACAAATTAACACAGATTCTAGCCTCCATCGATGGACTGTTAAGCATTGTGAAGATGGACTTATCTGAGAATTTCCTGACAAGTGTGCCAAGTTCATTGAGCAAAGCTGTCAGACTAGAAATTCTCAACCTGAATTCCAACTGTCTATCAGCTATTCCTCCCTCTTTGGGAAACCTTCAGTCGTTGAGAAAGCTGCTTTTTGCCTACAATCTCTGTACCGACCTCCCGTCTTCTTTAGGTGCTCTGGGTAGCCTCGACGAGCTCGATGCCTCGGACAATAAACTGGTTGGATCATTCCCCGCATTTGTACAAAATATGACCAGTCTGGAGATACTGAATCTGGCTGGTAACTATCTCAGCGGAGATATACCCACATTCGTCTACTCCGGCTCAGGGTTTCGACTTCACAGTCTGAATGTTTCCAGAAACTCCTTCAAAGGAAGCGTGCCAGATTTTTCCTGGGGTAATTATTATGCCATTCTGGACCTAGCTCATAATTTGTTTACGGGTGTCCTCCCTCCACTGAATAACTGCACCTTCAGTCTGCTCCGACTTTCCAGCAACAGTCTGAATGGTGGCATTCCGCTGTCCTGGGGAAACAGCACTGGCTTGCAAATGCTCGATGTATCCAACAATCGGTTGAGAGGGTCTGTTCCTGGATTCTTTGGGTTAATGAAGCTGTTGGAGGTTTTTGATTTGTCTCATAATTTATTTTCAGGCACTCTGCCTTCTAGTCTGGGTAATTGCAACAAACTTCAGAGGATGAGACTTGGGGACAACCCACTCATGACAGGACCTATCCCTGCCACAATGTGCAGTCCAGGAGGTTCGCTGCTGACATTGTCCTTGGCTTACAGCAACTTTGTGGGTGAGATTCCATCATCGCTGGGTAATTGCAACAGATTGAGAGTTCTAGATTTAGGTGGCAATCAGCTCAGTGGAAACCTGCCCCTCAGTCTGCAAGATCTTTCAAGTACATTACGGGTTCTCATTGTCGCAGGCAACAGACTAGAAGGACGTTTTCCGGAATGGATAGTAACATTGAGATCTCTGCAGGTACTTGACTTGTCTAAAAACAGTTTCGTAGGGGAGCTGCCCAGAGACTACTCTCAGCTGGAGGGATTCAGGGGGAGTGCAAGGATGGCCTCGAAGGATACACTTTACTTTGACGATCTCATAATCAATATCAAAGGGGGTCCTTTGGATTTGCAGTACCTCCTGTCCGCACAAACGTCTTTCGATGTTTCCAGCAACTTGCTGTTTGGCAATATTCCAGAGGAGCTCGCAAAATTATACGGCCTGTTACACCTGACCTTGTTCGAAAATAACTTCACTGGCACAATTCCCGCAAGTTTAGGTAAGATATCAAATCTTGAGTCTCTAGATCTGTCCACAACTAGCTTGTTTGGGGCAATACCACAGGAGATTGGTCATCTATCATCACTGACATACTTCAATGTCGCTCACAATCATCTTTCGGGAGTGATACCCTCAGGACCTCTAACGAGCTCATACAACGCTTCGTCATTTGCTTATAATGATGGCCTCTGTGGTTCTCCCTTGCCTCGTTGTGTCAACACGGATGATGCACTTCTTCAGAGCTCTTCAAACAAGTGGATTTCTTTTCCGGGAGTTTTGGCCGGTGCAGTAATAGGATTCTTTTCAATGTCTGCGATCATTATCCTCAACAGGAGTCTCAGGGTTTTCTTCCTCCAGGCTCCATATGGAAAGGCCTATATCAGACACTACACTAGCGGAAGACCATACGGCATGTACAGACCTCCGAAGTGAAGCACAAATCCACTGTTGTCTCGATAAGACATACATTATGTAAGAGAGGGGAATCTCATAAGAAGTTTTGGAGGAGACTTCTTCTGAAACGCGTTACTAATGTCGGCATTTCGTTATCTGAACTGGTTACATGGGAATTGATATCAATTCAGTGTGCACAGTTTTGGCATTTGTCGATTTTAAAACGGAGACAGTCCCTTCAATGCAAATGAAGTGTATAGCTGTAGATGAACACTTGCTACAAAAATGTTGGCATTACTTCGCTTGACGTGGAGAGATCTCTCGGCTCAAACATAATGAACTGAATATTGATTATTTATTTATGTGATGACGTGTTTTGTTTATCTCCATTCGTCAAGTCAGCTGATAATTTCTTCCGATGAAATTACGTAACGGTGACGTGCACTCAAGACGGTGATCGCTTTAAAAATTGGATATATAATGGTTGTTATTTTTTTTAAAAGTTTGGCCAACGGCCCGGGTTATGTCATTTTCTGTTCATTCAACTAACACAGGGCCTTGTGATATTAGTAACACATCTCATCCTTACTTGAAGTACATTTTCTTACTATGCGAAACAAATTTACCCAGAGCCCTCCTACTTTTCTATTCATTTGGTGAGCCAGGACCAGCGCAAGTATTACTTCCTATGCCCCACAGTTTAAGCACATTTCTTAGAATGCCCAGAACAAGAAAGAGAAGCGTTTCGCTCCAACGCTTGATGAGCCGGTGCTTAGGAACTTCACGGTACATTTACATACCGCAGGAGTTTGCGGATCTCATCAACAGCATAAAGCTGTTTAGTCATCTCTTGAAGGCCATTAAACCATCACTTAACGTCGACGCCTCAGCCGCAAGGATCTAACGATTGACACCAAATGGTCAGTAGGTAGCCTCACCTAATTATAAATTGACAGCAGAAGGTTACCACGATACAGTTCTTGTCTTTCAGGTTACCTGCTTGAAAAAGAAATTGATAGCGTGTTAAAAAGTCGGTTGATCTTTCGTCGCATAACCTTCTGATACATTGATACATGGGACCAAAAGGTTTAAGGATTCTCTTGTACAAGTATTCGACACCGGTCGAATACATTGTTCAGAGATAGATCGTAGGTAGATGGATTTCTTTTTGCTCCGATAGGAAACATACTCAACTTGAGTTAGGTCATCTGCTTGTTGAAGATATACTAATATATTATAAGTCAAACTGTAACCTAAAATTGTGTCGAACATTCTGAATACTTTGTTGGAGGTCCACAAAAATCATTCTTCAGCTTTTAAGAATGTGACTGAAAACCTACTACGAGCAGTTTATGAGAAATTGAATTTGCAATAGAAAAATCCTTCTTCACAATGTTTTCCTTAAAACGTCTGTCTCGTTATCTCTCTGTTGTAAATTAACACTTTTAGGGCATCTTCAGCATGCGAAATATGGTCGATAGCTGGTCAAAACACTCCGAACTAAGATATTTCCTTCCAGCACCAATGTTGGTCGAATTCACAGTACATTACAGCGTTAGCAGCCCAAGTTCGACCTTCGTCGTATCCCCAACAACTATAATCGCATGAATTCAAGCGGAGCTAACATTATAAGCTCGAGTTCAGACTAACTGGTGTGTAACTCGGAGTCCAACTATCCGTCCCTCCGATCCTGCTCTCATGACGTAGTACTTGACCTGCAAACCTGATGGTAAAGTTCAATCAGATTTTATGAATGCTTGTTTCAACACTGGGAGTAGCAGGGTCAAACTTAGAATGATGATTTATGGAACGAATATGATAGGGAGCTGACAGATGAAATGAACAATCTATGATCATGTATACAACCGACCGGAATTCTGTGCTCGACGAAATTGTTCATCAGGCGAGGTGGCGTTACGAGAATTATAAAACACATATAGGATATGCTAGTTGGTGATAAAATCTTCAGATCAGGTGGTGATATCAATGTATCCGTCTGAATTCAAAAAGTCTTCTCGAATACCTTTATTCTCTTTCAGAGCTGTGAAGGCAATCGCTGAATACGATGAAGTCCTGAATCTTGGCTCCCAATATGTGGCAGCATAGTCGCGCGAGTTGAAAGAGAATAACTCATCTAGACAACATGACACAAAACATCGAACTAGAATGTTAAGATCTTCTTTCAGGACCACTCCTGTAAAGTTGACTGCGACTGCATCTTTATTTTCTCACGACAAGTTACAATGGTGAAGTGTAACTTGCGGTGGGAGAGAAAAGTAAAGAAGTAGAACGCTTCTCTCAGAAGGAAAAAACCACCATGATTTCATTTTACATCTTAAAGAGATTGGAGATCATTGCTCATTCATAGATAGATAGGCGGGCAAGGATCTCATGGTAGATTGCAGTCCCTTCCACTCAGAATCAGCGCAAATGTGAATCGGATCTTCGCCTTAGCGTCTTTGACATAACGGATGTGTCAATAGCTTTAAGGCCAGGATCTGTGCCGTCATTCCAAGGACGTTAAGATGTGATGAAGATACGTTCGAAATCGTTGCATGTCGACTTTCGTCTATTCGCAGCAAAGACCGAGAATCTCGCGCCTCGGTGATCTTAGGCATGCTAGAACAGAGAATAAGGAAATGTAGGAGCAATGCCCATCCTTAAAGAGAGAGTAAATTGCAGATTGTATGACGTCTGACAAGCCTTTGAGGTCATTCGAAATGTGCTGTATGACCTCAAGAGATAGTAACAGATGACAGAATGTACCTCGTACGACAGATATTGAGTTTTCAAGACACATTTTCTACAGAACACCTAATCAAGCATCTACTGCATGTAGGCATGGTGTTTTTGAAGATGAAATAGTTCAGTTCTAAACGAATGACTGACTGAATACCTGGAGAGTTCTTGATGTGTATCTTTGTTGTGTCAAATATACCGGAAATTGCCCAGGGACAATGATCCCCGACGATATAAGAAACAACTTCTTCATGCTTCCAGTCCTCTGATTGGTACTTCTCCTCAAGAAACAGGTCCCAGTGTCGAGCATCAAAAACTTGCATTGTGCCTTCACAACAGACGGAAAGAAAGCCGCTGTTAAAACCTTCAAGAGAATATTCAGAAGCTGATTAATTTAAACATATACATGTATGAAATAGGAGACTGGCCTACTAGAAGCTGCACCTGATGGGCAATTGATAGAAGCTTCACCTAATTAGAACTTGATGTATTACATCTAACGAGTAGGTTTTATTTCCAAAGGAATTCGTCCCATCAATCCATCAAAAGTTTTAAAGATGATTCGATGAAGACACTTGCCTTCACAAGAACTGCACAACGGACAGTGTACCAGATGAAGATCTGAATACAAGACGGTAATTTGGTGAAATTAGCTTCAGAACAAAACGATTGTGCCAGATACATTTGATATTAGAAGAATTCCTAACAAACACACGGAAGCTAATATCACGATGACTTCAAAGGTCGCCGCTCCAAGTCGACTCAACATTGCAGCGAAAGTCCGCTAGTCCAAATGCCGGGTGCAGTGAACGTCGGGATTCCAACCTATGTGTCCACTTGAAAATTAAAGGAGAGATAGAATTCACATGTATAAGACACAAAAGTCGGTAGAATCTCAAGACAATGCAACGGAAGCCGGTGCAAACGACCGATATACACATCCTCCTTGGGAACTTACAGATGTAACTAGTCCGTGAAAATGACATTACCTGCAATCCATGGACCCGTTTTGACCCCACAAAGTGATAATAGCGTTTGGTCTTTCTGCGTCTCAAAGAAAATTTTGTCTTCAATTGCTTGCATTCGAGCAGTTCCACTGACAAGAACCTCGCCGGAAATGATCGTAAACGCTCCAATTCTCATCCAATCTGTATAGCTTAATTCAAATTACCAAATCCTTTTCAGAAGAAGATGTTTATTCTATCTCCTGGAAATTTTACAAATTCCATGACGTTGACCTATTTAAGGCTGAGACTAAACTTCTTAGCAACGTATGTCTATCATTGTGACCGTCTATGTCATCTTCTCCCTGCGAAGTGACTTACGGAATGTATTGCAGTGATAAGGTATTTACCATGGGGAAGATGGACACATATAACACGTATAGCGTGCAGATGTCACCACCAGTTACCATGATAACTCAGTAGTATTCATGTTGCAACACAAATGTTTGCTGTCATCGGCATGAGCGCTTCTACCCTGATACCTCATATAATCATTTAATATTACAGTTTTCTCCGATATCTCATAGATCTCTTTCCAGAGGCTTACTTAACAATATGTTGCCAAATGCTTTGACTTAATTCTTACGAATAGTCATCAGATACCCCTTATGATTTCTCCCTGATTAAAAATGTTAAATAATTAAATGTAGTGTATTTTAATAATGAAGAGGGAGAATAAAAAATAAAGTTTGTTTGAGTATTTTCAAGATGTCGTAGAATATCGATCGACCACGTGTCTTTAGATTGGTAGAACTACCTGCAACTGCTGCACGAAATTTCTTCAATTTTTTATGTCGAGATGTTAAAGTGCGAATAAATGAATTTTTGTGCCCCGAAGGAAATTGGAGAGAAAAAGGGCACCCTTCGCTGGTAGTCTTACCTGTTGGTGTAGAAACCCTTAACCTTCTCAGGCCGAAGAAAATAAGAACTTACAAATCCAACATTGTTATCCCTGTCTCATATCTGTACACTCGTATGACCCCTCGATGATTTTGATTCTGAAATTCTTTTTAATGTAGAACAGAATATTGTAAATGCCAGCATTTTCAAATATTTAAGGTTTATAGTTTAGGATCAACATGTACTAACATTGAAATTACCTGCCCGATTATCAATAATAAGAAAAGAGCTTTTTAAAAAATAAATTTCTGGAGCTTTTGAACTAGCTACAGTTATATATGAGGCTTCAGTGTTAGCGTCATTGTACTGTGGTACATGGATTGAGATAAAGTTCTAAAGAATTGTTTTCATTGAAAACTGAATTGTTTTCGTTTCAGCGCTATGAAGATGGGATCAACTACCAAAGGCTTGACCGGTGATAAGAAATACTGAAGGAAATAGGAAATGCAATATTCCCGATTGGAATTGTGAGACAGGTGGTATATACTGGTGGAAATATTGGTATGGACGGAAGAAACTTTAGCCTTAACTTTGGCTCCAACAGCAACTAGAAGAAGACCTAGTTGCCACTCGGAGCATGAAATATCTCTCACACACAACCTAAATGCGATATTCTAGTATGAGTTGATGGTTGTAGGTGAGCTCTCTTAGATTTTCTTTGCTTTACTTGGCGTCAAAACTTCTTAACTTGTTTGACTGGATTGTTTCATGTAAATTTGTCATTAGAACCTATCTTTCAACATTAGTCTTAAGAACTGAAGTCCACATGCAGTTCATTCACTCTATGCAAATCTTGGTAAGAGCAAATCACCCGATTTAGGTCCGAAACGCACCTATATGTTTGGCTGATTTGTCACGAACATATGAATGGCTCCCATCTGTTGTTCAATGGGGTATAGTAAAAGTTAGCATTATCAAGTTAGCAAAAGCATCACACTATTCTGGTTTAACTCTTCATGTCATACATTTGAAAAAGTCTTGAGATTCTTGCGCTTACCGAAAGCTGCACGATGGAGTCTTCTCCAGCTGAACGAAGTTTCCATGTTACTATCAAACGGAATCTTTAAATCTCGTCGGCATATTCCTTTCCACGTATGATCTTCCATCACCAAAGCATATAAGGCATGATTCGCCAGGGAGAGTCTGATCAAATCATCAGCTTGAAGAAATGATATGATATTCCCCCACACATCAAAAGAGAAATTGTGCCTGAATTGATGCAATTACAAAACAATGATTAAGTAATGAGAGGAAAACAAGAATGTATTGTCCACCTTACTTTCCGAAGATGTAGGGTTTCAGTAATTCTTACTGATCTACAGCAGGAGAATTGGAATCAAAATGTTTATTTTTCGTAGACATTCTTTCTTCATCTGCTAGGTTGATATACTTTTGCTCAGTAGATTCGAAGCACTCGCGCAGAGTGCAGAAAAGTTTGGTACACAATCCTGTAAATTATACCAGATGTTTACGGTTTCAATACTATATTGATTTCTCCATATTTTTGTCAAAATTGAGTTCATCAGTATGTGCAACTCGTGGATTCAGAAATTCTGCCACAGTGAGCCCAGAAACATTCGCAAGCTATACCAATCAAAAGAAGTGGTATCATAACCATGAAATTATCCCAAAAATTATCCTCAAGAGAAACCAAAGGCATGAATTCATACCGAAGGATTCTGACAGGAATCGTTCATTGTCCGCCGGTTGTCTAACTGTCACATTTACTTCATAATATAAAGCTATATGTATAACTTGAATGTATTGGTACTTCATATGACATAAGCACAATGTCATCTACATTGTGCTGTATTCACAAACTTGGCGCGTAAGCTTGATCACAGATATATTGTAGAGAGAACATTCAAGCAATGTTTTTATTTAACATATTTTGTCCCTAGATCAGAAGTCAATGGCTGATTAAACGAAATTAATACTTTTTCTCTCTACAACTCTAATAACTGTAAGGGTGAGTATTTGAACTTAGTGCAACGTAAGAATTTCAAAATTTGCCAACTTTAAACATGCTCGCATGTACACCATAAGTGTACTGGGCCAGTTAGAGAAATTAAAGAACGTCAGACTCTACTGCTAGCGCATTAGTTCAACAAATCTTCGTGGATTGTACCGTCTGATTAGTGTATAATCCAGTTTGAAAACTAGATCAGAAACTTCTTCAGTCAAGCTATTTCTCATTCTTGCTTATCACAATGTTTACCTTGTCTTGATTTCCCTCCGTATGGGTACATGGTGATTGTATGGGCATCAATCGAATCTGCGAGGGATCGTTAGGAGGTGACATTTGTGCTGTAGTCTCATGTTTGTATCTCGAACTTTATTTTCATGAATTTAAAGAAAATATGGCAAGTGGCATAGCTTGAGAGCCAATACTGCTGTCCTCTACAGCAGCATTGGCTGAATGTAATGCTTGGAACTGAATACGGAAAGTTATAAAGAGTAAGGTGCGTAAGTGATCTACGTCTACGTTTTTTAAAACAGTTGCCAGTAATCCTATGAGGCTTGCTTCTGTTTGTGTTAAATTATCTGCTTCTATGTCTTCAATGCCCTTTTGCTGAGAAAGCTTGTAATTTGTTTGAGTTGTTTTAAAGAGAAACTATGGAAGCCTAGATCATGCAGACAGCAATGCATTATATTATCGCTATATATGTATTAGAATATGGCAGTTTTCTGACCTTTAAGACTTGGATTTTAGTCACTAAAGAACAAGTCTTGGAGTTGATTACCAATCATTAGCATCCAAGTTTCCGCTCAGTTTCTACTTTCTGCTCGAACAAGTTTCTAAGACGAAACAGTAGTGAGAGAATTAGTAAGTTGCTAGAGAATCAAACTTCGACAGGATATTCACACACAGATCCATTGAGCCTGTGCAAGCACATAACAGAATCTTCTATTCTAAATTGGATTCAAACTTCTCGACCCTGACTATCTCCTCATGACTCAGAGTCAAGGAATTTACCCAAAAGCACTGCAATGGTCCCTTCGAAAGATTCGCTTTAAATGCATCGCATGCATGGCGTGAGCATGAACAGTGGCAATTTGTTTGTTGGAAGTCACACCAACTCTGGAAAATCGAAACAATTCAAGGCTTAAACGACGCACAACAAACACTGTCTTGGCCATCTTTCCACGGCACCAGGAAAGGACACGACGAGCACGCGGAGACATTCGTAGAGGACGGTGGAAGCAAGTAAAACGCGCCATGATCCTCCGCCCAGTGCTGGAGTCCACACCAGCACACTTGCTGAATCAAGGAGACCGGCCAGAGGGTCGAGTGTGCCTTCTAATGTGATCGAGCCTCCCTCGCCCGGCTGGGACCCTCCATACGATACCACAAATCGGTGAAGGAGAGTGTTCCACTGCAAGGCGGCGCCTACGTCTCTTTCAGAGCATTTCAAGTGAGGCGCCCAAACAAGATTTGAAGGCCCGCCCGGCAGCTGTAATATTCAAGTTCGAACTCCCTGATTCGAATTTTAAAATTGACCTTGGATCCGCTGGTACGCTCCGAATACTGTGCAGGCTCGTTGTACGTGTTTTCAACCACTAAACATATAGAAGGTCCGAAAGCAAAGCGAATTTCTCTATTTTAGAACTTGATGCGTTCACACTGACGTGAACTACAAAACTAGAGTCCAGTACATTGTAAAGTACTCTTTACTCTTGTACAATGTACTCGTTGGATTGCCCTGATTCCCGCGAGACGACAGCATGGAACACTTAAGAAAAGAACTCATATCTTTAGCAAAACGCATGCCGTAACGGAGGAAAAAGTGAAAGAATCATCAGCTTATGGCAGTAATCACTGGAATTTTAAATTAACGAGAAAACACATAATATATGCTGTATTCGAAATTACTTTATAACCGATGAGTAATTCTTGAATCTTATCAGCATTTCGTTCCATCTAGTAGTTGTAGGGTAAAAAATTGTCACCGCAGTGACCGAAAGAGGACATGAAGGTTTAGGGCCGAACTGGGCTCGAAGAGTGTGTTCCTCCTACGTAGACCGTTCCAGCTTTAGAAGGGATCACAATGACCACGGAAATCAGCTTAGTGCCGACCAGTGCACATGAGCTGGTTTCAGAATTGAACGGGAAGGACGGACGAGCGGTAAGACATTGCTCGCATTGTAACATCCTTGAATATCTGTGCTTGATTATATATTAATGGAGAAGCAAAACTGACTGAGTATATCACGATGTGAAATCAATTGACCGCCAGCTATTACCAGTCATGCCGAAGATTCAGTGATTCGTAAACGCTGATCATATCATGTTTGGTAGACGAACATATGCGCGCCTCGTATAAAGGGTGTAGTTAGAGTACATAATCGCTTACACACTGTACAATTTACCTGTAAACCGGGCGTTAGCAATGAGATACAAGATGAACATTCCATCTCTTGCTCGCTACCAGGTCTAGAATGCAACCCTGTAGATACTGCGCGGAGGAAAAACCTCTCATTTGGTAAGTTTGTTCCATGTACTTCTTTCACCTACGAGTTCATCTTCGATTCAAGCCCTGCTGAAAATCTCGGTGCTTCTTGGTTCACGAAACCTTGTTGATAACCAGAAACTATACGAAGACTAATTTGTGGTCATGAGCGTCTAAGCTAACGATATGTATTTCTAATTTTGGCCGAAGCTCAATGTGAGTGTTTAATGAATGAATCCATAATCTGAACAAGCTGCTAGATCGGCCAGCACCTACCTGCTATATTTGAAATTATACTGATGTAGACATCTTTTGTGTGATGCTACGGGTTTAGTTCAGACAGCCTGATTTATTAAAGGAAGGACGCATTTTGTGTAAACACAGGGACATCGAACTCATGAGAAGGTTTCAAGCGATACGTGAATGTAACATTGTGTGAAACACGCTGTTAGATCGACCAGCACTGACCTGCTTTATCTGAAATCATATTTCTTGCCATGCTACTGCTTTAATTTCAGACAGTCCGATGTATTTGAGGAATAACAAATATGATTATAACACCCAGGGCCAGCGAAATCAGTGATATATGGACAATCATCATCAGTCTGTCACCTGTCCACAAACAATCATGGAGGAATAGTTCCGACGCGTTTCTTCACGCGAAGTAGTTTCGACAGCAAAGAGCATTCTGGCTGTAAAATCCCCTACCAGACGAGGAAGTAAACAATCAGCGATCACATGAACGAACAGCTGCGGTACAATACATACCAATCATGCATCTTCTCCGTGAGAGATAAGTATACAAGCCATTCTTCCGGACACTATATTCCAGACTGTCGTATACTTTGACCTACGTAAACATAGTACGTATCTACTCGAACTCTACAATTACCGTATCTCCTCATAGTTGACTAATCGCTCGTGGTGCAAGTTGATATGGCTCGAGATTCAGTTGACTTCAAGCTCGTGCCACAGCGCAAGCGTTCTACTTCAATGCTAGGTCTTCGGAGGGTGGCAGTAGCGTTTCTCGTTGCTTGCATTATGGATGCACTACGGATCCCAAGTCAACATATCCTCGATGAAACACACTAGGGCTTGATGAGCATACAATTGTACACAGCACATGCACGTGCAAACGTTCCAGTTACTGTAAGAGTTACAGTATTTATCGACTTTTCTACTTAAATAAGACATTAGCAGATCTAGATCTAGAATGACGGAGAGCAAAAATGTGGAATTCACATTTTGATCACTGATGGTTTTGATTTGGGATCCACGAAGCTCTACTTCATTGGAGACCACTGTCCTTCAGATGTGATAATCGTAGAGCCTCTCCTACACTCTCAGTTCATTATATTACTGCTGGAATATTTTTACTGTCGTAAAATCATCATCCCGCAGCTATTACACAATAAGCTCATCATTATATAGGCTTGACTTTTAGTGCTGGGAACGGTTTCCGTTTATAGTCAGACTAGAGTGCTCATAAATCTTGAGTAAACCCACCTAGCTGTGTGTTTCCACCATTACAACAGTACTCTCTGACCAGAAAAAATCTGAAAGGGGAGTTTCCAGCAGTTTGTCACATCAGATCAATTGAGATTCAAGCTTTGACCATCCCGACTTTCAGCCTTTGCGGTAGTAGGATTGTGATCCTATGGATGGAATCCATGTAAAGATACACAAATTCTATGATAACTTCTTCATCAGTTAGTGAAATTTGGTGAGGAAATTTCTAAAAGCAGGATCTGGTGCTCTACGTCATGAAAATTTGGCTTCGATTCAAATGATATAACTATATTAAGAAGCATTATATGTGTAATGATATATGAACTAAACTGGATCAATTTCGTGAATGGAGACTCGAGTACGGAACACAAGGTAAGAAACATTTTTTTTTGGGATAACTTTTGTGAGACAGCAAGTGAACACTTGCCAGGAATTCAAAGAAAACTCTGGAATTTTTGTTCAGATGTATATTACACATTAATAAGTAACGCACATGATTGTATGTGTAAAGTAATAATTATTGTACACACATTTGTGTGCCTCGACGAACCGATACCAAGAACCAAGGAACGTGCACGTGGCTGGCTCAGCTGAAGTCAAATCTCCAAGGGGAACCCGGTCTCCTGGAGCTCTATGCTTAATTTAGAGGAGAAGAAAGTTTAAGATGGGTCTGATCAGACTAACGGCGGCATTGATCTCAACAGTATTCCAAATGCACTACTTACAGCAGGATCACCAGGAAGAGATGCGAGGTAGCAGGATCATAATTTCAACATTTGCAAGCAGAAAAGACAGAAGTTGATGTACGTACGACACATTCTGTGGTCATGCATTAAATTGTCCATTGTTAACTACCTTCCAAGCAAGTCGAATCTCGCTCTTGTGACTCACCTCAGAAAATGCATGCACGAGTTTCACCTCTCGTATGCCCGGCCAGTACCAACAATTCCAGATCATTGTGAGATGCAGGTGAAAGCTCAACAGCCAATACATGAGACTCGGTCTGAGGGTGTTTGCCTTTCTAGTGCATGGATGGGCAGCTGGCAAAGTCTGCCTGCAGATTCAGATGATGGCAAGAGGTATCTGCCGATGACATCTGTGCACTCCACTGGGATAAGAGCTGTATCCATCGTCTTTAGAGTTCAAACTGGAGAGCTCGACTTTCAATTTCGACATGGCCTACTGGCGCAAAAGAAAAGTCAAGTCATGTGGATGGAACACATGTGCCACCACTGTTCGTTGCCACAGGCTCTCCTAGTATCGAGGGCTTGTCTGTATAGCGTGACTTGAGTCTGAAGAAACTATGCTAATGTCCTCTGCATGGTGCTTCCAATTCCGGTTGTTAGTTTGCCGGTCGGCTGGTTGATTCTAATCATGGTTTCGATTTCTATATCCAGCAATCTCGCCAAAACTGTGTTCGTATTCTTTCTCCAGAAATCGAGCAAAGAATGCCCAGGTGCATGGACAAAAATCCAAATCACGTGTTTCCAGTACACAGGAGGCTGTACACGCATAAATTGCCAACTTCTTGCGCCTCGGGTATTTTAATCATGTTAATCAGGCCTTACTGCTACTTGGACTCTCACATGTATGACGGAATGAGCGGCTTGAAGGAGTCCAAATGCGACGGGTTTCTCACCCGTAATTCTCATCTTAACTGCACTGATCTTTGAGACTCCGAGTCGAATGACATTGCCGGACGATAGTTCAATAGTTCAATAGTTTGTGGATAAATTCTCTGTCTCGAGTAGAGTTCTGTTGCCAAGTCCACGCTGAGAATGTCGTAGGGCACGAATCAAGGAAGCTCAGTGCAGTGCAGTCCAGTCCGTCTCATACCCCAACATATACACATGTGTTTCAACTTCCTCATGCCCAAGACGAGTGGTTCGGTTTATACACCCGCAGCTGAACCTAGGTAGTGGTGGAGATGTACAGAATGAGAGATACGGACTTGTAAACTCTCCCGTTGCATACCTCATGTAAATCAAGAGATCTGCATCGAGAATATAATATAAAATTACATAGAAAGAATCGAATCTTCGCATCGACAAATGCATAGTGTGTTCAAGACATTCCGATGGCTTTACACGGTATTTCATTAGATCTCAATTGTATGCTCCACTTAAACCCGGCGATGGGTGCTGCTGGTCATGTGGTCGGAACTTGAAGCTTGTCGGGAAGCCACTGGCATCAGCCAGCCTTTTCAATTTATGTGGTCACTGGGTTCTCTAATTGGAGTGTGTGTGGAAAACTTTATACATTGCGTGACAGGGGCTCTCGTGCCAGGAAGAGCGAAGGAGAAAACTCCAGATCGGCATTAGGGAATGGCATATTGCATACTTGTTACATCATGTCGAGAGTTTCTGAGGAGATATGGACACGTTCGATACAGCGCCTTCTGAAAGCACAGTGCCCAAAGGCAATCACGTGAGCCTGCACGGATTTGATTTTCTGGTGATTGGACAGAAAATGCAACCATGGAATAAGTGATCAACAGAAGGAGCATATTCTGCTGTCTTCAAGTCAAACTGAGGTTTCTTTCATCAGCCATGGTCGGCCAAGTATTCCCGTCGACATGGTTCTTGCAAACACGTGCAGAGAAGCACCACCTCGTTGATATACTTTGCCCTGCTATGACGTCAAGAATGCAGTAACGGAAAGATTCCGATCGAGATCCAATTTCAGAAAAGAGGAATTAGTGTTCTGCTCTTTCTCATGATGTCATGATCAACTGGTTCGTGAGCAAATGGGTTGATGGTCAGTCAATCACACTTTGAAGGCCTGTCTGTATCAGATAGACATTAATTGTGTCGTTACCTTTAATGACGTGGTAAATTCAGAGTGCAGCAGCAGCAGATATTGTTCAGATTGTGTTTGATCCTAGCTCCACCATTTTGTAATATTCCATCAAAATACCTCGATACATCATATTTCCTACGATTTTTAAGTCTTCTTCTCCTCATGTCCTCACGTCCTGGAAAATTAAGGTAGTATATGAGCAGTTGACTCATAGCACGGGGAGTTGAAGGTGGGTAGGATCCATCAGAAACGATAAGCAAGACATGTGTCAGGTAGTACAGTGGCTAGGAGCGACATTCTTACATTACAGCTCGGTGGAAGCAGGCTCCTGAGATCCCAAGGCGGTGAAGGTTTTCTTTCTCGACCTAGAAATGCAGGTACTTCGCAGTGGAGGTGATCCTCTCAGAAGGATTCATTCTTTTCATGCCGTTTTTTTTGTGCGGAATCTTGCACACAGGAGCATGTACCTTGCTGTTCGATCTGGTAGAATTGTTCCTCCAACATTCAATTGTTGTAATTTGTATTGACTTGCTAGTGCATCGCTTTAGTAATAAGTTGGGTAAAATTCAATTGACAAACTCAATTTTCACATCTTTGGCGGACATTTAGAGCCCAGTTGACAACAAAAACATCCACTTACACGACCTCTTGTGCTGACAATGTCCATTGAAACTTGGAAAATCCACGTTCTGAATGCGCTGGTTTCATAATTATGTCGGCGTTTTCCCCATGATACAGCTGCTCTCGGAGTGATGCAAGCGCAGCTGCGTTAAAAGGGTTGCAAGCCAGACCATTACAGACCATTACAGATTTGACAAATAGATCCGCAATTTGTTCCAAACAATGGGCTGAAGCATAAACACTGTACAGTCTGCTTCTCCCTTTTTTTATTCTCGTACTTAAGGAATTTCGTCATGCATACTACGTGGTGGAAATAAAGATATGTCGTCAGGATGGACATTCTTGTGATGTACTGCCAGGCGGTTCTCTCCAAGCACTGGCTAGTGGAGAGAATATGCAATGGTAAGCGAATGGTTTCGAGCAGTTTCAGTAACAGAAACAGTGCAAGCTCGGAATATCTGTGGTTTTTGTATTAATTCTCACATACCAAGCTTTCTGCAGAATATCCATCCACGGCATGAGTCAATTCTTTTCAAGCTGGAGCTCGTTAGGTTCTAAGGTTCAGAAAATCTTGGGAGACTGGATCGATTCTCTTGGAAAATGTGACTGAAGTATCCGGATCCGGGCCCACCTTTCTGAGGTCTCGAACTTCAACGCCGGTCCAAGTCTAGCACTACGACGGATCTGAAAACAGTGAACGAGAGCACCGGTAAGAATGACCACTTGATGGAGGCATGCATAAGAAGACGAAAGCTCGGAATATTTCCTCTCCGGAATATAGTGAGCTTCACAGGTGCGCTTCAGGTGTCGTCCCTGAGCTCCCAGATAGATTGACTGACTGATCAACATACCTCGATGCATGTACATGTGCGACATTTCCAACGAGCTTGAGATCATACGTGTCTTTGGAAACCTGGACAAGTTCCACTGCGAATAGGCTCGCACGAAAGCATCGGAAAGATACGCCATCATCGACAGGGTCACTGACCCAGTTCAATACAACCTGGGCATACAAACCATCTGAAGGCCACTTCTTACCCACAAACAAAATGAACGCAACCGACTTCGATTTGATACCAGGATGATCAGCAGCGCAGTCTGCACCGCAAGCTCATGCATAGGGTCGACCAGTGCAAGCAGTCCACTGGAAACTGAAATCTTTGAACACTTATCGACTGCCACAGTGAACACATAATTTGATTGGTATCAAGATGATTCAGCACTCCTCAGCACATTCAGTCAGCAGCATGGAAAATAAAGTAGATGTGAAGGGGTGCACGACGATGATCAAATTGCTGATTCCATGCAGTTTTCGGTCCTTTTCATCCATAAAAAATCGAGAACGAAACGTGCAGCAGCGATACATGAAAACCAAGTTTCGATACCGCCGAAATTTGAAATGTCGAGTGTTACGCTACTCTGATCGTCCATGTTAGTCTTGAATGAGGTTGCTGCTGCTGCTACTGCTGCTGCTTATGCCTGATCACATCTTCAGAGATGTAGAGCTGATCTACAATGACCACAAACATGCGTCAAATGAAACTTAGTGTGTCGAATAAACTGCGCTTTCTGCGATTTATTATAAAGGTTGTTACAAACGCATAGCTGCTTTTTTTCAGGACGGCCATCTGCAATTTACAGCTGCGTATAATTTCCCATTTGCAGATTGTACAGGGAAACGATTACACACTGATCGCAATCGACCAAGCTATCGCCTGTTCTGGACCATGTCGGCAGGTTCTTTGTATGCCTCTAGCTGCTGCTGCTTCTCTATCCAATGTACACTTGAAGGTGCAACATGCTGCTAAACCCCTCATCTCCCCATCTCCTAGGTTCTCCCTCATCGCGTATTACCAACTGCTCGGATCACGTTCTCTGCTTCGGCATCCGTTTCCTCTACTTTCAGAATCGTATGAGCAGCTTCATCGCTGCCGTTGCTGTCAGACGCTAAAACTAATCTCATTAAAAGTTGCAGACTACTGATTCCGAGCTTCTTTGCCTGCACTGCGATGGAGACCCTACGGAGACGCCACTGTCATGCTCCTCTCTTCCTTCTCTTCATCTTTGGCCTTCCCGTTGTAGTAGGAGCTTCTGTTTTGGTGGTTGTGAAGGAACTTCTGAGCTTTTGCCTGGATATGCTCTTGATGAAATTCCAGAGAGATGATGATGATGATGAGATCAATTAAAACTTTGATATCCACATCTCGGCAGCTACCTTAGCGTAGAGATATTGTGATGGGGGCGAGGGCGGAAGAGAGAGAAAGAGAGGATGGAGACCTGGAGAAGGCGACTCCTCATGGCCCTCAGTCTCGCACCCGGCGGTGATTGAACCTGAAAATCCATATGTGGCAAGATCGAGACATTGCACGAAGAAAACGTTGAGTCAGATCCATCCACACTGTCAATGTCACATGGACAGGCACTGGATTCCCTGTGCCGCATCCAGACATTCGTCAGCTGTCAGTTGTTCTCCCCTCGGAGCTCTCCATTGTTGGCAGACTTGTACTGTACTGCTGCGTTCCCTGGCCTTGTAGCCCATGCCCAGGCCAGGGCTGTCTGTCGGGCCACTTCTGCACTAGCAAAATTGAACAAGCAATTGTTCAGAGTGCACTGGCCTTAAATTTGATGTTCAACGCGCATCTGGTGATTGCATTCGCATTCGACAGTCTTTCGTCCTTCGATGACTCTTGTGGATTGTGTCTTACAGCTACCCTGCGTGTGACTAGCTAGCTTTCGCTCAGTTGTGGATTGGAGACGGCCCTTGAGGTGGCACCTCTGAGGACCTGGGCAGCTTCTGGAAAACTAACGTGAAGCTGCTTGACCTCTTGGCGTTCATCAGCTTCCTGGGAAGCTTGAACCCTGCAGGATCGAGCTCTACTTCGATGGCAGGTACCGGTGGGAGTATGTCTTCATGAACACCAGATACAAAACTGGGACTGGAAGGAGCAGATGTCGTTAAACTCTCCATGTGCACATGCTTCTCCGAGCTGTCGAGATTCGATAGCGGCTGTGGTGGGGAGAGGATATCCGAGTCCGGGTTTTTTGCCATTGCTGATGATGTTGGTAAGCGGAAGAGCGCTGTCAGAAGAATAAGAGTGACGCAAAGGAACGGAGAGGTTTTCATGGCTGCCATGATGGTGATGATGAGGATGGTGGTGGTGGTGGTAGTGATGACTCTAATGAGTAATTGGTGCTCCTGCTCCTGCTGCTGCTGCTGCCTCTTGAGGGTTGCTAGAGTGCACAGACGCAAATTCTGCTGCCTCTTGAGGGTTGGTAAAGTGCACAGACGCAAATGCCTTCAGCAAATCTCCTGCAGATCTATTGAATGCAGCTATGCGTTGACCGTTTGCTTACAAGCTTGGGTCTGGTCTAAAATCTGAGGTGAGGCTTTTGTAGGATGGGACGAGATGAAGAGCCTCACACTGACAGATCTTCCATGCAATCTCGGCGTGGAAAGACAAGTGCTAATGTTGCAAGCCACAGGTTTTATAGACTCTGCTCTCCTGCAGCGCTGGCGCATTCTATGCTACGAGTCAGTATGGAGCTAGGTTTGAGGTATGGGTAACAACTCCACTTGAACCCAAATTACTCTGTTGCAAATGTGCGCAGTCCGCTGCACTGTGCTGCACACAAGTGGGATCGATGATGGGAATCCTGAAACCAAGGATCAATTTCGAGATTCCTGATTACGATTATAGATTAACGACAAACAATTCGTTTTTGAGACTCGACGGCTACTTTTCCGTTCTGATTAGACGTCCAGCACTCACTGAGCTCGTAAAGTGAGCCATCTCAAGGACACCAAGTGCTTATATACGTTCTCAGCTCAGCTCACTTCGTTTGTCTTGAATCTACAACAAATTCGATGATTTCAGTTGTACAAAATACTTGTTTGATGCGTTTTCTGGCAAACTGGGCTCCCATGTCTGATACTGCGCGGAATGAGTTTGCTCAACAATGAAAACCTGGACTGGCACTGGACCGATGCGCATGGAGAGGATCTTCAGAACTATTAATCAAAGAAAACTTAGCGCTCACAGAAGGTTAACTTGCAGGTATTATGTGCCCATCATACACCCATCCGTCCTTTATTCTTTCCATCTATAAGTGCGAGCAAAGAGGTCCTCTATGCCGAGATTTGCACTGCACTAATGCGGTCAATGACTTCTAGATCAGGAAACTTAATACGAGTTAACTAACCTTAGGAACACAATTTGCATGAGGCGTGACTTCATTAGTTTTCAACGACCAAAGAGAAGGTCGTGACAGAGTGACTAAACAGAGTAAGTGGACCTGAGCTCACGAAACAAGCATGCTGGGTGGGGGAGCATTGCCCTGTTCCCTCCCATTGGTTCGCTGGATTGCGTGCTGACCCGGCTGCTTGTGACCGTCTTTTGCAAGTTCGCCCGCCTGGCCTCTGTCCTGGGCCTCATGGACGTTTCGATTTCATTATTCATTCAGTCTACAGGAGCTCCTTTTATCACTAACCGTGAGCACTGAAATTTATTCCCCGGAATGGATTCGACAGTTGACTATGTTATCCCGTTTGAACCTCGAAGACCAACCAAATTGCAAGGACGATGCGAGAAGAAAACACTCTTCACAGTGGATCTGGATAAAGCTCTTGAATGAAAATGAGGATCGAAGACAAAGCTCAGCTGGAGGGAGATGGCAATCTGCAGGCTTGTCAGAACACTGTCTTACTGTCTCGGCTGGGTGAATCGACTGTTCAAGGTCTTCTAGATCCGCCTGGGGGTCCCAAAGTCTTCACAGCTGGGTCAATATTCTTGACCCGGTTGACGAGAATATTTTTTCGCTGGTACAAAGTTTTGGTGCGAGCCCATGGCCAGCAGCTGACATTCAGGAGGATGCATATGCAGGGCCTCTGCACAATCAGGTGAGAGCGTTGAGCAAGGCAAGGCAAATCAAGAGGCTCAGCCCGAGAGGGGACGGAGAAACCAAAGCCTTTGCATGTGCATGCAGCAGAACTACCTGCTGCTAGCGCCACCGGCACATCAGACTCAACTTTTGCTATTCCGGTCTCGCGCAGACCTTGACTCGTCCTCGGCCGGCAATCTTTGTGCGGCAGATCGAGGTCACTTGAGCAAAACTTGGGTCATGATCACGTACACCGCGCAAGGAATTTGAGCTTAGCATATGCACCTGGAAACAGTGGGCACTCCGGGAATGGCTTGCGGAATGCGTTGTCGGCCTCCTCTGAGTCAGTCTACAGCGGACCAGCACAATTTATATGCACAAGTATATACTTGAGATCACTTTGGACTTCGACTGGACTAAGCCAAAACTCAAATCTACATAAAATCTCCCCTCCTTCCAGAGCATAAACATAATTTGCATCCTCAATTTTTCAGACACTGGAGAGAAAGGGATGGATGGATCATCATGCAGTGTTCACACAGGCCTGCCTGCCTGCCCATCTTTCAATCTTAATCCATCCTGCTATGTGGAGGGCCTAGCCACCTGTGCATCAATCGGAGAAATTTAAGCGCGTGCTGCACGCACAATTCATATTTGGAAATATGAAACACCAGATGGCCCAGGAAGGCCCATGTGGCAGGCAGGGGCAGCGGACAGTGGCCTGCTTTACCCAAAACATTGCTCCATGTTGTCATCCTTCGTTGACATTACCCTCCTTGGTCTGACCCGATGACAGACCTCCGATGTCCAGAACTCGCCACTCCGGTAAATATATATCAAACGTGACAATGAATGCTGCTCGGGTCCGAGACGGCCGAGCAAAACGATTGTCGCCCGAGGCAAGTTGACACCGGCAGAAGCCTCGTTGCCTCCTCTTCTCTGCATACTTCCACGTTTTATTTTCAGTTCTCGCGGCTGATACGACTAAGACCATGGAATAAATCCCAGAGAGAGACGGAGCGAGCATGCAGCCGATGTCAAGCACGGAGGAACCGCCTTGCAGAACGACTCTTGCAAAGCTTGGACATAAATCCGGACGAACTGTAGACCAGTTTTCGACAAGATGACTTTTGTCTGCGCCTAGTAGCTTTCAGCAACTTCGACTCTACTACTCAAAGCCGCGGACGGTGTGGACTGCGAACAATCAGCTTTTTCGATTTGAAATTTGAGTTTATCAAAACCCTCTGAACAGAAATTACTGGTTGAAATTGCACACCGCAATCAGCTCCGATTCAGCAGTTCATTCTGTGTGGTATGAGAGGGCTCCTTCCCAATAATCATGGCTTTGTGGATGGATTTCGATGAAATAGATTTTTAGAAATAGATGCAAAGGCTCACCACGGGCAATGAGAGTAGTGGACAGAACTGTGTTTCACTGGATCCATGGACTCATGGTCATGACGGTCAACGTCCTTGATCGGGACGCCATATCCTTAAGCCTGTGAGATAATGACAACTTAAAGTTGATTGACCACATGTGGGCATGGCTGACCGGACGAAGCAACTTATATGACAAGCTTCCGAGCAGATCTTCCACTGGAACCATGACATAGATCGGGCAGTCTAAATCTGGATCGCACTACAAGCTAAGTCAAACAACTTGGCAATAGGAAGCCCCAGGACACAGCTGCAGACCCTGGTTAGAAATCAGTCTCAGCACGCATAGCTTCTCAATAATAAAACTGTAGAGTGAACTTAAATTAGACCGTCGCGAGGTTTAGTGAGCTCCCGACTATCTCCGTTTCCTCTACCCACCGGTACCATGGTACCAAATCAATCAGGAATGTTCTGCGCAAGGACAGCAATACAACAACAGTATCGAACACAGCAACAGTTCTAACGGTGAGGTTCATCATTCCCCTGCTGTGGCGGTTGGTCCACTCCTAGGAAGACCATTCGTGCAAGACCACGAGGGCATGTCCCATCGAGCAAGAGCAAGAGCAGACCCACTTCGAGGCCCCGCCCCAAGTTTGCAGCCTATCATATCTGCTCATGTCATGACATGGAAAAGTGAGGTCCTTAATGTGAAGATAACAAGACAATGATCTATATGTCCATGTCTGCATCCATCGAAACAAATTTAAGCAAGAAGCTTCACCTGCGTGTTCCTCACCTCCAGTCCACGAGTGCCCAACATGACCTCCCTCGGTCGTCCAAATAATGCACTCCACATGAAACTCCTTACTGTTCCGTATGCCCTCTGGAGATTATCAACACAGTCTCGTGCTTACAAGTCACTTGTATTGATATGAACAGTCTGATCCGGCTACTGACTCCGCCCAACTTAACTTATCGTGTGTTTCTCTGTGCCCCGCACGCTCAGCCCAGCCTACGGTATGTCACAGGGAAGATCTCACATACTGGAACGCTCTCTGTCACTGTGATTATAGCATGTAGACATGCTTCCACCGAGTGAGTATTCATGCATGGAGATCCAACCGTAAGCCATGTAAGAAATGTTCTGAGCCATCCGAAGGGACAAAACATTCTGTTGGGAGAAACACATGGAGCTCAGAGGCACGTCGTTGTTCTCAGAAGGGCTTGGAATTTAGCGAGCAACATCGTGGCCGGAGCTGGTTTAACAATTCTGGACCTGCCTCACAAACAGCAGCGCGCACGCGTGCGTTCATGCTCTAGATCTGATGAAATCTGATCTGACCCTGAAGATGCATCGAAGGTTAGCTAGTCACAGGATCTCTTGAGGACTTTCGAGGCTTGACACCCGATGGCTAAACTGTGATCGCAGCCAACGAGCTCAGCCATGGTGGGTTGATGAATTCTGCCGTCTTTTTCTCGTCCTTATGACTGTTGTATATCTACCTGTGTAACCGAGTGAGCGTGAATTGTAGACTGAATGTCCGAGTCACCCAATTATCTCGGGCTTCAATTACTCTCATAGGGTAGGTTTAGGGACTTCGAGCCTGCTGCTGTAAATTGCTTTGACGTCTTTGGAGATGTGGTTCATACAACTGTAAACTCCCAATAGTTGAGCGGCCAGTGACGCAAGTCATGTGAATATAGTATATGTTGATACCAGATAGCTTCTGTAGTCTGAGCTTCTGACTCAAGATTTGGTGAAAAAGAGCTCTGGAGGCTGGGTAATCTTTTTAGTTTAGAGAGTGTTAGTGACTCAAGTGAAGAACCTGGAATCATGAGCCAATCCCAGGCTCAACAATGAATTTGCTTTCTGCAAAGGACAGGCACTGCTAGGAAAGTCAGACAAAAGGATAGGACAGGTATACGTTTGTAGTATCCAGCTGACTGCTTTGCCGTTGAGGTTTTGTTGTGAAGAGTATTTTGCACTTTCATGATTTTCTCTGTTTTACGCTGGTGTTTTTCCATGCTGTTTAAGAAGTTTAAGAAGCATTTCCTCTACTTATTATCGAACAAAAGTCCTAAGGTTACTCTATTTCGTGATTTACCAGCACTGTATTTCCAGATAATAGATATTGCATTGATTACCCATCAAAAATTTGGTTAATGATTATTATCCCGCTGACCAAGAGCAGGAAATTTACTTTTAAGGTAGATGTAAAACTAATTA